CACTGTTTTGTCGATTGGAGCGTTATTTAAGGAATTAGAACCGATTATATGTTTTTCATATAAAAATCGATTTTTCATTGTAAATACGAGTGATCACAGATTTTCACTGTTTTGTCAATTGAGGCGTTATTTGAGGATTTAGAGCCGATTTTATGTTTTTCATATAAAAATCGATTTTTCATTGTAAATACGAGTGATCACAGATTTTCACTGTGTCGATTGGGTCATTATTTGAGGATTTAGAGCCGTTTTTATTTTTTTCATATAAAAATCGACATTTCATGGAAAATATGAGTGATCACAGATTTTCATTGTTTTGTCGATTGGAGCGTTATTTAAGGATTTAGAGACGATTTTATATTTTTCATATAAAAATCGATTTTTCATGGAAAATATGAGTGATCACAGATTTTCACTGTTTTGTCGATTGGGGCATTATTTGAGGATTTAGAGCCGTTTTTATGTTTTTCATATAAAAATCGACATTTCATGGAAAATACGAGTGATCACAGATTTTTACTGTTTTGTCGATTGGAGCGTTATTTAAGGATTTAGAGCCGATTTTATGTTTTTCAGATAAAAATCGATTTTTCATGGAAAATATGAGTGATCACAGATTTTCACTGTTTTGTCGATTGGAGCGTTATTTAAGGATTTAGAGCCGATTTTATATTTTTCATATAAAAATCGATTTTTCATGGAAAATATAAGTGATCACAGATTTTCACTGTTTTGTCGATTGGGGCATTATTTGAGGATTTAGAGCCGTTTTTATGTTTTTCATATAAAAATCGACATTTCATGGAAAATACGAGTGATCACAGATTTTCACTGTTTTGTCGATTGGAGCGTTATTTAAGGATTTAGAGCCGATTTTATGTTTTTCATATAAAAATCGATTTTTCATTGAAAATACGAGTGATCACAGATATTCACTGTTTTGTCAATTGGAGCGTTATTTGAGGATTTAGAGCCGTTTTTATGTTTTTCATATAAAAATCGACATTTCATGGAAAATACGAGTGATCACAGATTTTCACTGTTTTGTCGATTGGAGCGTTATTTAAGGATTTAGAGCCGATTTCATATTTTTCATATAAAAATCGATTTTTCATGGAAAATATGAGTGATCACAGATTTTCACTGTTTTGTCGATTGGGGCGTTATTTGAGGATTTAGAGCCGTTTTTATTTTTTTCATATTAAAATCGACATTTCATGGAAAATACGAGTGATCACAGATTTTTACTGTTTTGTCGATTGGAGCGTTATTTAAGGATTTAGAGCCGATTTTATGTTTTTCATATAAAAATCGATTTTTCATTGAAAATACGAGTGATCACAGATATTCACTGTTTTGTCAATTGGAGCGTTATTTGAGGATTTAGAGCCGTTTTTATGTTTTTCATATAAAAATCGACATTTCATGGAAAATACGAGTGATCATAGATTTTCATTGTTTTGTCGATTGGAGTGTTATAAAATCGATTTTTCATGGAAAATATGAGTGATAACAGATTTTCAATGTTTTGTTGATTGGAGCGTTATTTAAGGATTTAGAGCCGATTTTATATTTTTCATATAAAAATCGATTTTTCATGGAAAATATGAGTGATCATAGATTTTCACTGTTTTGTCGATTGGAGCGTTATTTAAGGATTTAGAGCCGATTTTATATTTTTCATATAAAAATCGATTTTTCATGGAAAATATGAGTGATCACAGATTTTCACTGTTTTGTCGATTGGGGCGTTATTTGAGGATTTAGAGCCGTTTTTATGTTTTTCATATAAAAATTTCATGGAAATACGAGTGATCACAGATTTCCATTGTTTTGTCGATTGGAGCGTTATTTAAGGATTTAGAGCCGTTTTTATGTTTTTCATGGAAAATGTTAATGATCACAGATTTTCACTGTTTTGTCGATTGGAGCGTTATTTAAGGATTTAGAGCCGATTTTATGAGTGATCACAGATTTTCGTTGTTTTGTCGATTGGAGCGTTATTTAAGGATTTAGAGCCGTTTTTATGTTTCTCATATAAAAATCGATATTTCATGGAAAATATGAGTGATCACAGATTTTCACTGTTTTGTCGATTGGAGCGTTATTTAAGGATTTAGAGCCGATTTTATGTTTTTCATATAAAAATCGATTTTTCATGAAAAATATAAGTGATCACAGATTTTCACTGTTTTGTCGATTGGAGCGTTATTTAAGGATTTAGAGCCGATTTTATATTTTTCATATAAAAATCGATTTTTCATGAAAAATATAAGTGATCACAGATTTTCACTGTTTTGTCGATTGGAGCGTTATTTAAGGATTTAGAGCCGATTTTATATTTTTCATATAAAAATCGATTTTTCATTGAAAATACGAGTGATCACAGATTTTCACTGTTTTGTCAATTGGGGCGTTATTTGAGGATTTAGAGCCGCTTTTATGTTTTTCATATAAAAATCGACATTTCATGGAAAATACGAGTGATCACAGATTTTCATTGTCTTGTCGATTGGAGCGTTATTTAAGTATTTAGAGCCGATTTTATGTTTTTCATATAAAAATCGATATTTCATGAATAATATGAGTGATCACAGATTTTCACTGTTTTGTCGATTGGGGCGTTATTTGAGGATTTAAAGCCGTTTTTATGTTTTTCATATAAAAATCGACATTTCATGGAAAATATGAGTGATCACAGATTTTCATTTTTTTGTCGATTGGAGCATTATTTAAGGATTTAGAGCCGATTTTATGTTTTTCATATAAAAATCGATTTTTCATGGAAAATATGAGTGATAACAGATTTTCAATGTTTTGTCGATTGGAGCGTTATTTAAGGATTTAGAGCCGATTTTATATTTTTCATATAAAAATCGATTTTTCATGGAAAATATGAGTGATCACAGATTTTCACTAGAGTAAAGTATTTAGAGCCGATTTTATGTTTTTCATATAAAAATCGATATTTCATGAATAATATGAGTGATCACAGATTTTCACTGTTTTGTCGATTGGGGCGTTATTTGAGGATTTAGAGCCGTTTTTATGTTTTTCATATAAAAATTTCATGGAAAATACGAGTGATTCCAGAGCGTTATTTAAGGATTTAGAGCCGTTTTTATGTTTTTCATGGAAAATGTGAATGATCACAGATTTTCATTGTTTTGTCGATTGGAGCGTTATTTAAGGATTTAGAGCCGTTTTTATGTTTTTCATATAAAAATCGATATTTCATGGAAAATATGAGTGATCACAGATTTTCAATGTTTTGTCGATTGGAGCGTTATTTAAGGATTTAGAGCCGATTTTATATTTTTCATATAAAAGTCGATTTTTCATGGAAAATATGAGTGATCACAGATCAGAGATGGGGGTAGTGCACTTATTTTTAACTATCACTAATAATTAGTGGTTGTTCGAAATTATTCACTACTTTTATTTAAGTTTAGTGATGAATTGAAAAATATAACCCTCACTCAAGAATAGTGATAGTGATATTTAAAATTGTTAACTAAAAATATTTTAAAAATAGTTAAAATATTTGTTTTTACAGCCTAGTGAAATATTTTTTTCTACACTAAATCATTAGTTCAAAAAATATTCCTGCACTATTTTTTTTTTCAAAGAAGAAATGTTTCACTAAATTGAAAGTTTAAGGTAATGAGTCAGTCTAGAAATGGTTCAAGTCATGAATTCAGTCAAGTCAATGAATAAAACTTTCATTATTTACAAAGTTTCCAAGCTATTGCTGAATAAAAACATCCAGTAACCACATCATTTTGGCAACTGGCAACGCAGCTGGTGTGGCAATCGAGATACATTAATATATTTATCCGAGGAGCATCCACCATTTCGTTAAAAGAAAATAATCGTTCTACTGGAACAGTTTTGGAATTCAGATGTTTCATTTATTTTTAAAGCATGAAATGTTTTTGGAGTAACTGCTTATATAGGGTCCATTATAGTGTAATCACTATCAAAATCTATATTTTCCATTTTAATAGATCTTTTAAAAAAATTAATCATTTATTGGGCAAAGAAAATTATTGCAGCCTTTTGTTAGTGACTGTTCAAATTTGTAACTATTTGAGTGTAGTGCTTTTTTCTAAACTATCACTCAATTGAGTTATAGTTAAAAAAATAAAATTATCACTAAAAAATATTAGTGCTAAAAATATAAGCTTCACTTCCACTAAGCTGATGAAAATTAGTGAAAAATATATTTTTTGAAATAATATTTAGTGATAGTGAAAAAGTGCACTACCCCATCTCTGGTCAGTAACGTTAGAATTTTATATATATATATATATATATATGTATGTATATAGATAAAAGAAACTTACCGATTTTCGAAATGATCGGGCCTCATTTAACCCTAGCCTCCATACAAAGTCCTCGTCAGAAAATGACCAAAACTAATACGGATAGAACCCTATTTACCCTTGCCCCCATATAACCCCTCTTTCAAAAAATCACTTTTTTGGCAACAAATTGTTAAAATATTTCGGAATCAAGTTAAAATGCTTTATTATTAAAAAAAATTAATCCAAATTTTTAGCACACTCACTGGTGTAGGATATCATATAGTCGATTATGCCCGACTATACATTCTTACTTGTTTTGGAATATTAAAAATATTTCAAAATTTAAAGGCATTAACATTAACAGCATTTTCCAGCCATAACTTCTAATAAAAATATAAATAATATTTGTCAAACAAATTGCAGAATATAAAAGCGAAACCGCATTCTTCGCCCCAGCTTGTCTGCTCAAACAATTAAAACTGTTTTTACCATTATCCTTCTAATAACAAAAGCTTTTAAGAAATCATCATCAAAAAAAATATTATGTCATTGTCAGTAACCAATCAATTATAATTTGCAATTGACATTCAAAACGTTTCATCATTTGCTAACGCTTCATTAAAATTTAATTAGTTTAATTAAGGTTTCGTTTTCATACAATACAAAAGAAAACCAAATTAATTTAAGACTTACCGACATAAATGTCTTAGAGACATAACGCCAAATACTTGTTTAAGTGGTACAATATTATCACGTAATAAGCAGCCGTAACGCTCCACAAACATTTCACGCCGCGCATTGTAAAGAACAATGGGCTGTATGTAAATAAAAATAAAAGAAGTTTAGAAGAAAAAATATTTATTAAATGTTAACTTGAAGTGTATATTTTAAATTAATATTTAACCATAAATACTAAATGATTGTAATTAATTTTGAGAAAAATAATATAATTATGTTTAGTTTTGAGAATTTATAATTTTAAAGCTAAATAATTTTTTGGTTCAAAATATATATTAATTTAAATATTTTCCAGGGGTACGTATGATTAATATTAATTCGAGAGTATTCTTAAAATATCTATATTTTCAACTACAATTAATATGAAAACAATTATTCGGTATTAATTCATAATTTTATACAAATAACAAGTTGGAGACTCGGAAAGAAAACCCAACCTTTTTTTAATTAAAAATATTTTTTGTAATTTTAGGAAATTAATTGCTTACACTTTCTTAAGAAAAATAAATATTTTAAAAAAGTAAAATACACTATAACTGCCTCGTTAAGTACTTCTTTCTACCTTTTAACTTTTATTATAAATTCAATTTAAAGACTTTACAGAAAACATTTCTAAAATGACATCACTTAAATACGTATTAGCAATTTTTTCGTATATTCTCAACTTGTCTTCAGCTTGAAGAAAGTTTAAAAAAAATTTTAAGTATCCTGACAACTTAGGCATATTTCCACACATGAATACATATGCATACATATAAATAATATAAATATGCACACGTGCAGATAAACTTATAAATACTTAAATATTTACAAACTCTTTAACCTACATACACACATATCGTCACCTTAATATGAGCAAGACGTATTTAATATTTGATTTTTTTCGTAAGCTAAAGGATATCTTATTAAAATCAATTGTTAAGAAGAATGAAAAGTTTATTATTTGTGAAATCAAACAAAATATTACGGAATTATACCAGAAAATGAATAATAACTTTTTATGGAAAGCAAATGTTAGAATAGCTGACGATATGTTTATATGTATCTAAATACCTAAAATTATATAAATATATTTACATACAAATAAGTAGATACACATACATAAGTACATACCTTAAATGGCATTTCAATATGAGATATATTACGCAATAAGATCTGTAAACATGAAATATTTTGAAAAACGTAATTACGACCATTTTCAATCAATTTATCAAGTAATGCTAAAACAACGGAACTGCCACCATCCGGTGGATTAGGCGCGGCACCATATCTATAAAAAAGTATAAAAATAGCAACTAAATACTTTTAATCATTAATATATAAATCTTGCTGTAGAAAAATATAATAAATTTAAATTTAAGGTAAAAAAATTTCAATTCTATTTTCCCTCGATAAAACATAAATAAAGTTTTTTTATCTTAAAACAAATTTACAATATCAATATTCAAAGAAACAAAATTTCCATAAAAAAGTCATAATTTAGTTTTTGAGCTTTGCTGGCGCCAATATTGTTTATAGATGTACTAAGTTTGTTCTTCTTTAGATACATGTGTATTTTAAATTAGCGTAAGTTTTATTGATATTGAATATTAAAATTCAATACTGTATAAGGTTTTCGAGCCAAAATTTTCTGTTACTAAATAGTTTTCTTTTTTTAACTAAGTGGGCATGTACTACTCCGTTGGTATATCAATAAATTAAAATTTGGCAGTTCTTTTTCGAATGAACAATGAAAATAAAAAAATTATACATATGTGACAAACAATAAAAAATTTCTGTGGGGTCAGAATAGTCTAAATTTATAGTCTACGTTGAATGAAGCCTATCCAAGTTAGTTAGTTAGTTAGTTAGTTAGTTAGTTAGTTAGTTAGTTAGTTAGTTAGTGAGTTAGTTAGTTAGTTAGTGAGTTAGTTAGTTAGTTAGTTAGTTAGTTAGTTAGTTAGTAGTTAGTTAGTTAGTAGTTAGTTAGTTAGTTAGTTAGTTAGTTAGTTAGTTAGTTAGTTAGTAGTTAGTTAGTTAGTTAGTTAGTTAGTTAGTTAGTTAGTTAGTTAGTTAGTTAGTTAGTTAGTTAGTTAGTTAGTTAGTTAGTTAGTTAGTTAGTTAGTTAGTTAGTTAGTTAGTTAGTTAGTTAGTTAGTTAGTTAGTTAGTTAGTTAGTTAGTTAGTTAGTTAGTAGTTAGTTAGTTAGTTAGTTAGTTAGTTAGTTAGTTAGTTAGTTAGTTAGTTAGTTAGTTAGTTAGTTAGTTAGTTAGTTAGTTAGTTAGTTAGTTAGTTAGTTAGTTAGTTAGTTAGTTAGTTAGTTAGTTAGTAGTTAGTTAGTTAGTAGTTAGTTAGTTAGTTAGTTAGTTAGTTAGTTAGTTAGTTAGTTAGTTAGTTAGTTAGTTAGTAGTTAGTTAGTTAGTTAGTTAGTTAGTTAGTTAGTTAGTTAGTAGTAGTTAGTTAGTTAGTTAGTTAGTTAGTTCGTTCGTTTCGTTCGTTGTTCGTTCGTTCTTCGTTCGTTTTCGTTCGTTCGTTCGTTCGTTCGTTCGTTCGTTCGTTCGTTCGTTGTTCGTTTCGTTCGTCGTTCGTTCGTTTCGTTCGTTCGTTCGTTCGTTCGTTTCGTTCGTTCGTTTCGTTCGTTCGTTCGTTCTTTCGTTCGTTTCGTTCGTTCGTTCGTTCGTTCGTTCGTTCGTTCTTTTAGTCGTTCGTTCGTTCGTTCGTTCGTTCGTTCGTTCTTCGTTTCGTTTCGTTTTCTTTCGTTCGTTTCGTTCGTTCTTCGTTCGTTTCGTTCGTTTCGTTCGTTCGTTCGTTCGTTCGTTTTTCGTTCGTTCGTTTGTTTTTCGTTCGTTCGTTCTTCGTTCGTTCGTTCGTTTGTTCGTTCGTTCGTTCGTTTCGTTCTTTCGTTCGTCGTTCGTTCGTTTTCTTTCGTTCGTTCGTCTTTTTGTTTTCGTTTCGTTCGTTCGTTCGTTCGTTTCGTTCGTGTTATTAGGTGTAGTTAGTTAGTTAGTTAGTTAGTTAGTTAGTTTGTTAGTAGTTAGTTAGTTAGTAGTATTGTTAGTTAGTTAGTTAGTTAGTTAGTTGTAGTTAGTTAGTAGTAGTAGTTGTTAGTTAGTTAGTTAGTTAGTTAGTTAGTTAGTTAGTTAGGTAGTTAGTTACGTTAGTTGTTAGTTAGTTAGTTAGTAGTTAGTTAGTTAGTTAGTAGTTAGTTAGGTAGGTAGGTAGTTAGTTAGTTAGTTACTTGGTTGGTTAGTTTAAAAATTATCCTTTCAAACATTAAATGCTGCGGTAGGCAAATAGAATAATAAATTTTAAGTGACTTTTAACCACACAATTCTTTCAAAATCCTTAAATGGGGCTTTTAAAATATTAGCTTTTTAAACGTTCATATGTAGAAGTGTCTCCTTTTTTATATGCTTTTTCTGCTAAAACAAATGCAATTCAGGCAAAAGTAAAAAACAAAAAAAATAATTCTTTCTTTTATTACTAAGTATGCAAATAATGTCTAGATTAGATTTGAGAACATATTTGGCATGTTACCAAATAATTTTAAATAGCAAAGCAAACATACAAATGTACAAATGAGGACAAATAAGACAAATAGACATTTACGTATGTATTTCAAAATATGTAAAGTAGACACATACATACATATACATTCATATATGTACACATAATAATATACCCAATATTCTTGAAGCTACATCAGACCTGCCTTTAAAATGAAATAAATTTAACTTGGAAAGTTTAGATTTTTAAATTTATGTCAAAATGTATATTTTAACGTAACATAATTCAAAGTAGTCGGCACTGGTCTTTAAATACTAACAAAAAAAGAAAATGTTTACACACACATAGTATTTTCATTTCCCTTTTTCAAGAAAAGAAATTTCAAATTAAGTACTTGCACTAGCAACACCATTACACAAATAAACGCAAATGGTACAATTTACGTACTAATACATACATATAAACAAACCAGCAAATCAATAACCAGAAAACCAACCAGATATAAAGTTATTTACTTTCAACCCATTCACTTTTTGCAGTACTTAAATCTCTAAGATAATCCTTTATGAGAGAAAGTTCTTGATAAACGATTAAAATAGTTAAAGAATAGAACTCTCAACAATTGGTGCAAATCCATATCAAGGTATGTACAAAAAATTTCTTGGCACTTGTCTGGTTTTGTAATTTTCAAAGTTTTTTTAACTTCCAATGTTGTTTTTGTAACATAGTATAATTTTAGGTGAAATTCTCGAATTTCAAACTTCTTTTGTTTGCTGGGAAATCTACTATACGTAAATCATCACATTGCTCTTGTGTACACAATCAATGAGGTGTGGTAATGTTTTTTTTTTTTTTTCATCACAGAAAATTGCCAAAAACAAATAAATCTTATTTTCAGTGTTTTTTCGGCACTTAGTTTTTGAATAACTAATATTTAATATGTGTAGTTTTTAAACTTTCTTATTTTCATCTCTTTCAATTTGTAATTTGTAACAAACATGTGGTTTGACTTATTTGACTTGTAAGGTTTTTACAAGTTTCTTAATATTTACATAGTACGTATTTGCAGTTTGGTTGACTTCAAAGAACTTATCTTTAAATAAACTTAAGTTTTTCAAAAACACAAAAGAACTTTAGTGGTTGTCAATGTTAGTTTAAGTTTGTATGATAAATAACTACTTAATGAAAAATAATGTTGAGAAAGTTTTGTAGTATTTTTGTCTTTTTTTTTTTTTTTTTTGAAAGCAGAAAAACTCATTTACATAAAGATTTAGGTAATATTGAAGCAAAAGATTTATGGTTATATAATGGCTAGAAAATGTAAGAAAGTTTTTCTAGAAATTTGTGACTTTTTATATGAATACATAAAAATCATCAAATACAGCTTATGTTTACACAAAAAGTAATTTTTCCTTTTTTCGGATTTCTACTTTTAAGATAACTGATTATATTATAACACATATTTCCTCTAAATATTTTTTTATTCACATTTGATTATTTTTCACAGATTTTACCCCCAAAAATTATGCACATAAAAAAGGGTATCAAACAGTTTTAAGAAACTTAACTAATAAAGATCTTTGTAACATACAAAAATATTCATCCTATACCCACCTTAAAGTATACCAATCGGCTTAGAATCGTTTTCTGAGACGATTAAGCTATGTCCGTCTGTCCGTCCGTCCGCCCGTCTGGCTGGTTGGCTGTCCATGAAAACTTTGTGCGCTAGGTACAGATCGCAGTTTTCAAGATAATTGGATGAAATTTGGCACACACCCTTTTTTCGGCCCAAGGACGAAGCCTATTGAAAATGTTTAAAATCGGTCCATTATTTCACCTAGCCCCCATACAACAGAACCCCCCGAAAAGGGCTTCTGAGCTCATAATTATGTTAAATATACCTTTATATTGATAAAAAAGCGGCACAACTAAGTTTTATACAAGCCTTGATGACCTTGCCAAATTTCATAGAGATCGGGCCACATTTGACCCTAGCTCCCATATAAAGTCCCCTTCAGAAAATTACTTGACTGTCCAAAATTAACTTATAAACACAAATATCGCGATGAAATTCAGCACAATAAAATATTATGTAAATATAAATATATTTACAAAATTTTATCGGGATTGGTCAAAATTTTAAACGGAAAGTGCGTTTAAACTATTTTAAAAAGTTGCAGTTTTTTGTGGTCAAAAAAGTAAGGTAAACTTTCGAATGTTTTGACAACTTTAAATTTCTCACAACAGAGTAGAACTCACACGGTACTCGTAGATGTGAGAGAGTAATTTCCCATATGTGAGAGTCGGACTACTTTTTATACTTTGGTTAATATTATTTAGTTCAAATAAGTTGTATTCTATAATACTACAATTTCACTTCCGAATAACTTCCAAAAAAAGAGCATAAATATTACTTCTTGAAAATTACTTCAGATGCAGTAAATTTGGAATCAAATAAAAAGGACATCCCTCCTATGACAATCCTGTATTAAAGTCATTACTTTTTCAGGTCTTTTTTAGTACTTCCATGGAGTAAACTCTACTTCTTTTTAGCTTCTTTGGAAGATCTTTTTTTGCTGGGTTAGTACCTATTGTTCATAGCAAAATTTGTTCCAAACTGTTTAGATAACTTTTAACTTTAACTTTAACAAGTAAGAATTTATAGTCGGGCGAGGCCGACCATATAATACCCTACACCTTTGACAAAAATATAATGTGATTTAGTTGCCATAATAAAGCATTTAAATTGAATTGTACCTTGCCTCAGATATACATACTTAAGCCGTTTATTGTTGAATACAATTGTGAACATTTAAGTGAAATTTTGATGAGGGCTTTTTATAGGGGCTAGGATCATATGAGGACCTATTATTATGGAATTCGTGAGGGTCATTAAATCTTGTATAGAACTTGGTTTTTGCAGCTTTTTGTCGAGATATGAGTTTACGGTACCATAAAAGATCATGTGCCAAATTTCATTGAATTATCTCCAAAATTGCGACCTGTAGTTTGATTACAAAGTTTAAAAGCCTTATTCGGGGGTTCAGTTGTATGGAGGCTAGGTGAAATAATGGACCGATGTTAACCATTTTCAATAGACTTTGTCTACGGTACCATAAAAGATCATGTGCCAAATTTCATTGAATTATCTCCAAAATTGCGACCTGTAGTTTGATTACAAAGTTTAAAAGCCTTATTCGGGGGTTCAGTTGTATGGGGGCTAGGTGAAATAATGGACCGATGTTAACCATTTTTAATAGGCTGGATCTACGGTACCATAAAAGATCATGTGCCAAATTTCATTGAATTATCTCCAAAATTGCGACCTGTAGTTTGATTACAAAGTTTAAAAGCCCTATTCGGGGGGTTCAGTCGTATGGGGGCTAGGTGAAATAATGGACTGATGTTAACCATTTTCAATAGACTTTGTCTACGGTACCATAAAAGATCATGTGCCAAATTTCATTGAATTATCTCCAAAATTGCGACCTGTAGTTTGATTACAAAGTTTAAAAGCCCTATTCGGGGGGTTCATTCGTATGGGGGCTAGGTGAAATAATGGACTGATGTTAACCATTTTCAATAGACTTTGTCTACGGTACCATAAAAGATCATGTGCCAAATTTCATTGAATTATCTCCAAAATTGCGACCTGTAGTTTGATTACAAAGTTTAAAAGCCCTATTCGGGGGTTCAGTTGTATGGGGGCTAGTTGAAACAATGGACCGATGTTAACCATTTTCAATAGAATTCGTTTACGGTAACATAGAAGATTATGTGCCAAATTTTATTGAATTATCTTCAAAATTGCAACCTGTAGTTTGATTACAAGGTTTACAAGCCCTATTGGGGGGTTTAGTTGTATGGGGGCTAGGTGAAATAATGGAACGATCTTAACCATTTTCAATAAGCTTCATCCCTGTGACAATAGAAGATCATGTGCCAAATTTCATTGAATTATCTTCAAAATTGCGACCTGTAGTTTGATTACAAGGTTTACATGGACGGACGGACATAGCTAAATCGACTCAGAAAATGATTCTGAGCCGATTGGTATACTTTAAGGTGGTATACTTGTAGGTGTAGGACCAATATTATTGTGCGTTACAAACATCAGCACAAACCCAATATACCCTCCCCACTGAAGTGGTGTAGGGTATAATTAAAAAAAAAATAATGGACTTCTGCAATATCAAAAATTTCTATCGGACAACATCGGTTTCAAAGGTAGACATGATGCCCATATATAAAATGTGTATATTAGTACATCTTTACAGCAGTATCTTGCAATTGTTTGCAGTTTCTTGGTGGATATTGTAAACCAACATTTCCGTCGGACAGTCCCGAATTACATATTTAACCTACCACTTAGGGTTACCCTTGCCACCGACTGACCAAGTGAGGAAGTCACCACATAGATTACGAAAAGACAGACCAAATGCTTAAGTTCATTTTTTAAGTGTCCATACTCTCGCTTACAAGGGGGACCCTAAAGTGACGATTATCATCGTTTACAAAGAGTACATCCGTGACGAATGACGAATTAGAGTCAACCAGGTGGTTAGATGTTAGTGTCTTTTTAGGATGCATTGACTCTTTATCGAATTGCTGGGAGTATACAAAAATATGATATACAAATAAACACTAGACGTACATACATAAATGTACATAAGTTTCTTCTTGTACATTAAATAATAACAAGAACAAATTTTAAGCAATAACATTTTTCTAGTTGTACATTTTATTTTGGTTCTTAGAGTAACAAAGAAACATATTATTGTTGTTGAGTTTTCACATTTATAGAAAATGTATATTAGAATGGCCCAAAAAGAAAATTTATACAAAAAATATTAAATCACAATTTAAGAAATATATAAAAAAATATGTATTGCAAATCTTAATGCAAATGCTGCTTCTAGTTGAGACCAACTGTAACAATCCACTAAATTATTGGTTCTGATATTTCAAAATATTGTTACCAACATAAGTATATATGTTCATTTAAAAAAAAAATCTATTACTTAGCATTGTGGTTTTAAAAGAGACTTGAAAGCAATATTTTATTTAGGTAAGGTATTTTTTTCAGAATTTTAAATCTTCATTTTTTTCTACTGGTTTTTCCTACATACTCTGCATACCAGTAAATACTTAGAAAACAAACTTGAAAAAAGTCCATGAACCATGAGACATTGTGGAGACTGTTGAAAATACAAATAATGAAGATGTTTTTCTAGTTCGTTCTCTACTTGATGTCAAGCATCAGTATATTGGTTGAGTGCAAAAGTATTTTATGTTAATGATTTAACTAAAATCATTAGATAATTGCCCATAAACATAAACATGATTTTCGTCAAAATCAAATCTAAGACCTTGCGTTTTTGTTCTCGTTGAGTAAAGAAATGTAGCCTTTTTCTTATTCAAAACTAGAGACATTATCATACTCAGTAGGTTTTTAACTTAATGGCCATGCAAACCCCCAAAAGTAAAAAACGATTTAGCTATGTCCGTCCTTTTGTCGGTTGAAAACACGTTAGTACTAGGGTTCTATAAATCGACTTTCGAATAATCGAACAATCGACTTTTTGTCGAAAAAAGTCGAAGTCGATTATTTTGTTCCAAAAAAGTCGATAACTCGACTATCGTCTGTGAAAAAAGTCCAAAAGTCGACTTTGTGAATAAAAGTCGAAAAAAGCCGAAAAGTCTGAAAGTCGAAAAAAGTCGATAAGTCGAAAAAAGTCGAAAAAAGTCGACAAAAGTCGAAAAGTCGTAAAAAGTCGAAAAGTCGGAAAAAGTCGAAAAAAGTCGGAAAAAGTCGGAAAAAGTCGAAAAATCGGAAAAAGTCGAAAAATCGAAAATTGTAGAAACAAGTCAAAAATAGTAAAAAATTTTAAAAAAGTGGAAAAAAAGTCAAAAACTCTAAAATAGTCGGAAAAACTCGAAAAAAGTCAAAAAATAGTCGGAAAAAGGTAGAAAGAAGTCGAAAATAGTCGAAAAAATCGAAAAGTCGAAAAAAGTCGGATAAAGTCGAAAAAAGTCGAAAAGTCGAAAAAAGTCGAAAAGTCGAAAAAAGTCGGAAAAAGTCGAAAAGTCGACTATTTATAAAATACTTATAGTCGAAAAGTCTAAAAGTCGACTTTTATTTAAATGAAAAAAGTCGAAAAGTCGAAAAATCGACTTTTCATAAAATGCAAAAAGTCGAAAAGTCGACTTTTAACTAAATGAAAAAAGTCGAAAAGTCGACTTTTCGTTTCAACTATAGAACCCTAATTAGTACCTAAATGGAAGGAAGTAGACAGATGTTTGTGCAAAATCGGTCTACATTTGATACAACCCTATAAGAAGGCCTTCAGAATATGACTTTAACGTTCATTACTGGTTTAAATGTAAACATTTGCCATAAAGAAAAGTATTTCCAAATATCAATGGTAGTACTTTTCATCTCAGACCAAATAGTTGTCATAACATTATAAGCATAAAAATTGCAGTTTATGTGTTTCTTTTCACATTACATTTCAATATTTAAAATACATATTCCATGTTGCTATAAAAATAAATAAATTAATTTTTTTTATTTTATGTTAGTTTTTTTCATTTGTATATTTAACTCAAAGGCAGACTATGTACTTTTTATGTTATTTCATGTTTTCTTTTTTTCCAAATTTAAGAAATTTCCTTAAAATAATTCAGCATGTTTTCAGTTTTTTTGATAACTATTATACAATTATTCGAAATTTAGTTTTTTAACAGAAATTTACTAGACATGATAACAAAAAATTGTAATATTTTTTTACCGAAACTAATTAGCTTAGCAAACTTGCAATTTTTTTCCAAATAATTTAACATTAATTTCAACTTACCTTAATAAAATCAATAGCAAATCAGGTGCACTCGCTTGTAAAGCTACACGTAGTGGTGATGAACGACCACAGGATTCGATGGGAATATCAATGAATCTGTAAAATACAAAATGATTGAATAGATAAATGAAAATTTGTGTAAATATTACTTATGTTTAATTAAACTCATCACTCAAACGGAAATACAAATATTAACAATCGCAAACACAAACAGATACTAGTTAAGTCAAAACCAAATGACCCTCCCCCCAATACACACGAACATAAACAAATAACTTAAATAACTTGAGTAAACAAATGGGAAAATAATTTTGTGTAGATAATTAAAAATTAATTGAAATGTATCATGGCAGGTACAGAGCATACCTGATAGGTTGGTTTTATGTATAATAATGTTGCATGGAAAATCAATGTTATCAATTAAATAGTTTAGTCAAGTTTTAGACACTTCAAAATACCCATATGAATTTAATTATTACGCATACTCAAACTGATGGTGGTCGAAATTGGATAGAAAGTTATTAATAATTAATTATTGAATTAATATTCAATTCTACAGGTAATTGTGCCTAGAATTACAAAAATTATAAATAAGAATGTATAGTCGACCATGGCCGGCCATACGATACTCTACATCAGCGATTATGTTAAAAATGTAGATTATTTTTTTAATTTTTTTAATTCAGAAATATTTTAATGATTTGTTCACAAAAAAAAAAGAGATTTTCTAAAAGAGGGGTTATATGGACGCAGGAGGTTAATATGACTCTATTCTTAAAAACTTTTCTACATTAAATTTATTTATGCAGAATTTCATCGTGATATTAGCGTTTATAAGTGAATTTTGATCATTATGTCGTTTTTTGAAATGGACTTTCATTGACTATGACTAGACTATGACTAGACTATGACTAGACTATGACTAGACTATGACTAGACTATGACTAGACTATGACTAGACTATGACTAGACTATGACTAGACTATGACTAGACTATGACTAGACTATGACTACTAGACTATGACTAGACTATGACTAGACTAGACTAGACTATGACTAGACTATGACTAGACTATGACTAGACTTGACTAGACTATGACTAGACTATGACTACTATGACTATGACTATGACTACTTGACTAGACTATGACTAGCTATGACTAGACTATGACTAGCTATGACAGACTATGACTAGCTAGGACCTAGACTAGGACTAGGACTATGGACTAGACTATGACTAGACTATGACCTAGACTATGACTAGACTATGGACTAGACTATGACTAAGGACTATGACTAGACTATGACTAGGACTATGACTAGACTATGACTAGGACTATGACTAGACTATGACTAGACTATGACTAGGACTATGACTAGACGATGACGTAGACTATGACTAGACTATGACTAGACCTATGACTAGGACTATGACTAGACTATGACTAGACTATGGACTAGACTATGACTAGACTATGAATAGACTCTGACTAGACTATGACACTGACTATGACTAGACTATGACTAGGACTATGACTAGACTATGACTAGGACTATGACTAGGACTATGACTAGACTATGACTAGACTATGACAGACTATGCCTAGACTATGACTAGACTCTGACTAGCTATGACTAGACTGACTAGATATGACTGACTATGACTAGACTATGACTAGACTATGACTAGACTATGACTAGACTATGACTATACTATGACTAGACTATGACTAGACTATGACTAGACTATGACTAGACATGACTAGACTATGACTAGACTATGACTAGACTATGACTAGACTATGACTAGACTATGACTAGACTATGACTAGACTATGACTAGACTATGACTAGACTATGACTAGACTATGACTAGACTATGACTAGACTATGACTAGACTATGACTAGACTATGACTAGACTATGGACTAGACTAATGACTAGACTATGACTAGACTATGACTAGACTATGACTAGACTATGACTAGACTATGACTAGACTAGACTAATGACTAGACTATGACTAGACTATGACTAGACTATGACTAGACTATGACTAGACTATGACTAGACTATGACTAGACTATGACTAGACTATGACTAGACTATGACTAGACTATGACTAGACTATGGCTAGACTATTAAATTATCTAAAAACCTAAACTCGACAATACTTTCTCTCTGTGTATGTAAATTTCATTAGAATCGAACAAATCATTTAGTATTTACAAATTTTTTTCTCTCTTTTTTATTTCTATCTATCAGCCGAATCGGCAGATTCATTCGTATAGGGACTGGGTGAAATAATGACACGATTTCAATCATTTTCAATAGGCTCAAAATATGTCAGATCAGTAAAGACTTGAACTATAATCAAACATTGCATCATTTAAGTTGACTATGCTTTTATAGGGAATGCATTTGATTTGTAGTATTGCACTTTTGTCTGATTTATTTGTACACAACTTTGGCGATGCACTTTTTTACAAATAGAAAATATGGTAAAACAATTTAAAAATAAGTCTGTTTTTTATAGATATGTAAATAAACCTAATTTAGCAACTGAATTTCATTCACAACTTTTTGGAAAAAAAATCCCGAGATAAATTTTCTTTTTTAAAGAATAATCATTTGAAATCAACGTGCAAACATGCCAAAATTTTATAGCTTTAATTATTCCAATGTATGTATTTTACTTGTTTTTTTATGGGGGAAGGACAATTTTCTTTCTACTATTCTATTTCGACAAACAGGCAAGGTTGAAATAAAAAAATTACCTATACATTAAATAAAATTTTAAACAATTCTACAACACGAAACTTTAATAAAATTTGCAAAAAGAAAAAAACATTTGTTTACCTAAATATCAAAGTGTTTTTTGTGCGTGTGTGTGTGTATTTAAGTGTATTTATTCTCACATGCTGTATAAACACTTTACAATACCTATACTTATACATTTTTGCTCACACAAAAATACACTTGAAATACAAACAAATAGTATCAACATTCAAACATTGTTATGACTCGCAACACCCTGACACAATAACACGTTTTTATCGTTGTTTATCCACATTCCTAATTTTTTTAAAAGTGTCATATCATAAAATTTATGCAAAAACTTTTTAATATATAGTCAAATGGCTTAAAACATTTAAAAGCGTTCATTCTTCAAGTCATTTTTAACTTACGATAAATGTTTTGATGGTAAAAGATTCGTCTTAGCCGAACACTCTTCTTTGCTTACTTTTAAGGAGTTAAAACACTCTTGAGGTAAATAAGCCAAATATGTATGTATGTGTATAAAAAAGGAGAAAAACAAGAATATAACAGCCGTAAATTTTTGCACTACATACTTAAAGCAATGTTGTAAAATGCGATTTAATGTGCGAATTTAACACTGAAAGGGGTTGTTGCCTTCTCTATGAACCAAAACAAATACATAAACACATATGTATATGTGCTTTGCAATAAAAAAAAACAACAACAACAACTCTAACCAATTCAAATATAAAGAAAAACAAAAATTTCAAGCCATTTTTATTTGATTTCCTCTTTAGCAAACAATTCAAGCATTTTATGAAAATTCGCCTATAAGTATAGTATAAAATACTTTTACTTATAGGAGTATTATTTTCTTTTCTCCAAGATGTTTACGAATGGTTTTTATACTCTTGTGTGTGTGTTTTGTTATTAGATTAAAATGGTAACAAACAATCATTTATTTAGATATCTACTTACTTATTGTACTTGCATACATACGTATGTATGTATGTGTGTATGTACAATAGAGTTAGGCGTTGCTGGATGCTTTCTACTTCCAATAACTTAGTTTGGCATTTGCTTTAGTCCATATCAGATTTTTTTAATAAAACTTACTTTTATAAAAGTCTAAATGATACTGACGATTTTCGTAATGATCGGGCCTCATTTGACCTTTAACCCCAAGAAATAACTTGAAGGTCAAAATTAACTTATAAATTCTGCATAAATAACTTCAATTGATTAATTTACATCCATCTACCCAAATTTATAAGGATATGCTCATATTTACACTTACCCCTATATATACCTTCTTGTATTTCGGAATTAAGGTAAAAAACACATTAAATTATCCACATTTTTGACATATTCACTGGTGTAGGGTATCATATGATCGGGCATGTCCCATACATATCCATTCATACTAGCTTTTCAGAATATTTTGGAATTTATATGCCCATAATTTAATGCACTAAAACTTGTTTTGAGGACCTGGAATAGTCTAACAAAATTGTTAACTATTTATCTCTCAATAAGCTTAAAATTACGGAATTTTTAAGACCCATTTCGAGAAAGAAAAATTTTCTGTTACTGGTAGGGAACTGAGGTCCTATTTATACTCTACACCACTATAGTGGGGAGGGTATTATGCGTTTGAGCTGATGTTTATAACATCCAAAAATATTGGTCCTACACCCACCTTAGAGCATACCAATCGGCTCAGAATCACTTTCTACATAAGTGAATTTAGCTATGTCCGTCTGTGTGTCCACGCAATTCTCTTGCGCACTCTACAGGTCGCAATTTTCAAGATAATTTACTGAAATTTGGCACATTCTCTTCTTTTGACCCAAGGACAAAGCCTATTGATGGTTAAATTCGGTCCATTATTTCGTACAGACCCCATACAACCGTACCCATCGAAAAGGGCTTTTGAGCTCATAAATGTGTTAAATGTACTTGTATCACTTCAAAAATAAGCAAAACTTAGTTTTATATAAGTCTTAATGATACTGCTGATTTTTGTAACGATCGACCTCATTTGACCCTATACCCCATAAAAAGACCCCTTCAGGAAATAACTTGATGGTCAAAATTCAATTATAAACACTAATATCACGATGACATTCTGGATAAATAAGTGATATAGATGTAAATCCCTCTAACAAAATTTATAAGGATAGGACTATATATTAACCGCCTGCCCCTATAAAACCCCTCTTTTAGAAAATCTCTTTTTTGTCAACAAATATTTCTGTATTAATGTAAAAATGAAAATAATTTGTGATTATGTTCACTGGTGTAGAGTATCATATGGTCGGCCACGCCCGACTATCAATGCTTACTTGTTTTTTATAAACAAAAATTAAATAAATAAATGTTTAATTTATTTTTTTAATATTTCTGTAATGAAGAATTTTTAAAAAAAACTCCTTGGTGTAAGGTATGTAAGATTCAACACTGCCGAATATAGAACTTCTTGAACTTGTTTTCATTATAATTTTACTTTCTATCGTAAAAGAATGTGATATTAAACTTAACCCTTCTCAACAACATAATTTTTAAATTCAAATCTATTATTTTATTCGATAGACTGTGTGTGCAAACGCGTTATTTTTATGTTTTAGGTATTTTATTGTTTTTTTTTTTTCTAACAAATCTTATTACACCATATAAATATACTATATTACAAGGAAACGCTATTTAAGACATGATAAGACCTTAAATAGCTTTAACGCGTGCAAAATACAAAAAAACACTTATTCTAATGCTAGATTTGTTTAAAATATTTTTTTATTGCATTCGGTGTCACGCACACTTACTTATTTTTGAAATATAAATTTAAAAAAAAAATATGCAGACATACATATGTTTATATTCATTTACATATATTTTTAGTTGAAATAATAAACACATATGTACCTATTATGTATGTTTATTTTTCTTGGAAGAAACACAATAAAATTGCTTTATACATTTTATAGCCTTAGAGAGTCTGTTGTCCAACCTGAGGTGTTTATTTTAATCAAAAACCTTGTTTGAAAACAAAAATGACAAAATTTAATAAATAAAGTAATATTGTATTAATGAAATGGAAGAAACATTTTAGTTTATTTTAACTAAGACAATATAATTCGTAGAAATTTATTTTAGGTTATTAAAAAAAAAATAAATATTTGTAAGGAAGAAAGCTATAATTTGTTAAATATTTTAAAATTATATTTTTAACAACACAAATTCTTTCTAAAAATATTATTTAATTTATTTTTATTGCTCACAATATGATGTCAAAATTGTGGGTATTTTAGGAAAATTCAAAAAAAAAAAATTGGTATATAATTTAATCTTCTCTTGTTGCCATGTTTTTCTATTCGACATTTGAAGTCATTACTTTAATTAAAAAAACAGCTTATGTCAGAAATTCAGTGTTGTGGGAAAATGAGTAGTTGCTTTTTATACCCTACATCATTTTGATGGTTTTTCGGTATGCGTTTGTGCTGGTGTTTTGGTATGTTTCAACAAAAACATTTATCCTTAACCTACATTATAGTACACATAGTGCAACGCGAAAAAATATTATCATATTTACCACTACATGATAAAAGACAAAAAAGTGTCTTCCTGTTTTGCCCAAAGTAATTTTTGCACAAAAAAAAGTGATAATTTTCTCAGGCTCATATCTTGCAAAACTTTCGGAATTTTGTTTTATGCTCTGAGGCAAAGTTGTAGAACAAAAATTGTGAACATATAACATCAAAAAACTTCATCTTTAAGATCAAAAACTTAAAAAAAATCGAGTTTTTGAGTGTTAAAAAATATTTCAAGTTCTTCTCCAAGCTAGACGTATACTTAATATTTGTAATATCAATAAATCATTAACACGTATACGTACAGGTGTCGAGCAATCAGTTCAATTTCACAATATAAAACTTTCCACTTAAAATTAAAAAATGAAGATGAACTTGTTTGATTGAACCAGATTCTGTTTCTAAATAGATTTAACCATGTCCATCCATCCGTTTACCCATGTTAATCTAGAAATGACACTGCAAGTCATAACTTTTACATAAAAGACAATTCTATGAAATTTTGTTTAAAAGACATTTTTAAACCAAAATCTTTTATATAAGATCACTTTTGGAAAATTTATTTAATAAACAAATTCAGCATAGTTCCCTTATAGACCTATATTAGTAAAAGGTTTATCTGGATGTAACTGAGCTACAATCATTACTTTAAGGAAGATATATTATTGAGGACTATATGAAAATTACAATCCTGAATTGATAAAAAATCACAAAGATATTACTGAGATATTCGGTCTGTTCAATAACTAAAAGTTGTTACTAATTGTAAAAAAAAATTTCTAGAAAAAAATCTAAAAAACTCATAATTGACAAAATATGTGCTTCTTGCTTGAAACTTTCGGGAACGATTTTAGTTCAATTTAAAAATTTAGACCAAATTGCAACTAGGTTGTAGCAGGAACTACTATAAACGCGGCAATATTTCCCATTACAGATCAGTCATAACCCTAGATTATAAAATTATAAAATTTAAGTGTGGAACTAAAGTTCAGTTAATTCTGAATTCAATAGTAATGCCTTAGTGTGTACCATTTTACTTTAATCAGAAAGTCAAATATTTCCCCTCAAAAGTTAGTCTCTGTAATATTAAAAAAAAATATTCTTAAATATCTCCTTAACTGACAAGTTTGACATCTGTTGTCACAAAATGTAAAGAAAGAAAGACATGAAAACAACAATAAAAAAAGGTGTTAACATATAATCTTCTTCCATATAATTTTTATAACCCTTTTCAAATGCACACATTTACAAGAAAAAGTTCTTATATTTTTTAAAAGTACATAAATGTAAGTATTTTTATATACTTATATATGTAAATTTTCCTACTAATGTGTGAGTGTGTCATTTTCATATACATACATACAAAATTTATTATTGTATACTACAAAATTTATTTAAATTTCAAGAGATTTTGTTGTCTTTTTCTCTTAATAAATTTTCTTTAAAGATAATTTTGTACCTAAGAAAGCTTTCGGTTTGAAAGTAAATTTTAGTTTTTTTTTAATTTATTAATTTGACAAGGTAGTACTTAAGATGTTAGGCCAAAAATGTTTGTGTGAAAATAAAATAAATTTCAAGAAAGTTTTCAGCACAATAGTAATATAAAATTCCCCTTTTGAAAAAAAATAAATTAAAATATTTTTTGGTTTTACATTTGACTCTACTTACTTTATCAAACGTTCCTGTTCATAACGTGCAATCCATACGGGTAGTGACATATCAAGACTTGTTGCATGATGTAAAAAATAAACCATGGCTCTTGTATTTTCATCCTGAAAATTTTTTGTTGCCAAAATGTTGCGTGTAAAATAGGCACATAGTGTATATGTAAATAAAAAACGGTGAAAAAAGCATAATAAAAAATATTTTAAAAAACATTACACACACAAAATAAATAAAATATAAAGATAATAAAAAAACTCATGCAAAAGATAAGCGTGGAAAAAGTAGCAAAAAAAGATACTGTCTATTGTTCATAATAAGCATTTTTTTCATCCACTTTGTTTTATTTTCTATTGTATAAGTTTTTAAAGCAGTTTAACCTGATCTCTAAAGTCACTACGCCAGCCAGCTATGAAATGTGGTGCATGTGTCCCAAATAAAGCACCCAAGAAAATACGTTCAAATGTTTTTTCGCACGAATAAATTTCCTCTGAAACAAAAAATACAATTTTTAAATGTATTATAAAAAATATGTTGCTGCTTTCAAAATATTAACAAGGTATACCTTAACATCTACTCTTAGATACTCTTATTTATTTGCAGCATTTTTAGAAGATAATATTAAAAAAAATATAAACATACCTAATTTTAAAGAAATCTTTTTATAATTTTATGTATTTCTTTTTGCTCTACGGTGCGTATGATGATTATTTTATATATATTTTTTAAAGCAAGTCTAGTGTAAAATATTAATCATACGCCTACATTGAGCAAATGAAAAAAAGCTTTGTTTTCTACACTTCATCACCTTATTACTGCTTATTATTTTTGAAAACACAGAAATTGACACTTTATATAGAAAGAAATTGAAATCTTATATTCAGACACCTTTTCAAAATTAGATGCGCTTGAAGATATAATATGTAGGTACTATATATGATTTTTGAGCTTGAAGGCAAATAAACAAGAAAAAAAAGATACTACTTTTCTATTTATATATTAGTGGGACGAGAGATACATATCTTTATTACGCATATCTTCAAAATGATGTTCAAGTGATGATATACGAAGCATTTTTAAGCCTTTAAAGAGCGTTAAAGTATTTTCACGAAAAGGACTTATATCATCGTGACAATAGTGTTTGTAATTGAATTTTGAACATCAAGTCCTTTTTGTGAAGGGAACTTTGTATGGAGGATAGGGTCAAATGGTCCGATCATTACGAAAATCAGCAGTATGATTAAGACTCATATAAAACTAAGTTTTGCCGATTTTTTAAGTGATACAAGAATATTTAACATATTTATGAGCTCAAAAGTCCTATTCGGGGGATACGATTTTATGAGGGCTATACGAAATAATGGACCGATTTTAACGATTTCAATAGGCTTCGTCCTTGGGTATTCAATAGGCTTCGTCCTTGGTAGAAGAGTACGCGCCAAATTTCATCGAATTATCTTGAAAATTGCAAGCTGTAGAGTGCACACAGTGTTTACATGGACACACAGACGGACAGGCGGACGGACGGATATAGCTAAATCGACTCAGAAAGTAATCCTGAAGTGGGTGTAGGACCAATATTTTTGGGTGTTACAAACTTCAGTACAAACGCATAATACCCTTCCCACTATAGTGGTGTAGAATATAACAAAGATTTTCCTGTTCATACTTATATATTGACTCAAAACTTGCTTATGGTGCAAATTCCTTAACCCTCTTATCACCTCATTATTTTTTTGTCAAATTTACAATGAATTGAAATATTGCGTGCTTCAACAAATTTATCTTAATTATAATTTCTACATTAACTTCAACACATAATCAAAATTAACATTATTTATACAAATATTATTTAACACATTATTTCACATTCAATAATACTTGCCATAAACTTTAATTTTTCTTTTATACAAAAAAAAAAAGGGGGAGAAATTAATGCAACTTTAATATACATTTTGTATATCTCAGAAAAAGAGAGGCCACAAAAGGAATGACTTGTTCATTAAACCGCACATAAAAACAAATTATGACAATATTTTTGCCTAAAGGAAGGAAGACAAACAAAAACTTTTATTTCAAGTGCCAAATGCCAAATTGTATAATTTAAAAACATCATAATCGTGCTCATTTTCATTTCCATTCTTATTCAGGCCATAATCAGACAGAAAAAAAGAAAAGCAGGCATTAACATGGAAAATGTTTTAAACGCATACAAAACAACAACCATATACTTGTTGCTAGTTTTTCAGCAGGATAAAAAAAATGAATTAAAACCAAAAGAGCGCCATTTAAAGTCACATTCATATACTAAAGCGAAAAAAACAAGATTTTTTATAATTTATATTTTAAATGTGTCTGTGTGTGTATTAAGTTGTATACGGAAGTGGAGTTTTCTTGTTTTTTCTTTTATTTTAACTATGCGTATGCTAATTTCCATAAACATTAAACGTGGTACGAATAAAAAATGTTTATTAAAACTTATTTTTCATTTTTAATTTTAATTATACTAAACGACACAATTAAAACGAACAACAAGTGCAATAATAATAATTGTCTTTATATTTAATAAATGAATTTGAAAATTTATTAAATATATAGTCTGGGATATAACGAAATTCCTTTAATTGCTTAAAAAAAAAATTAGTATTTATCTCTAGTGACAAAAAAAAACACAATTATTATCTATTACGATTTGTGTTAAATATATTTTGAATAACTTACCGAGTAACACCACAACAACTGCAGAATCTCTAACACCCCAATCCCAGCACGTACGCAGGGCAATATAGAGAATATTATGAAATTTACCCATCATACAGACCTGTAAGAAGTAAAGATATTTTTAAGTTTTAAGCAAAATAGTTTAAATTTTATAAGTTATATCCGAATCTAAAACACTTATAATCGTTTTACCGATGTCCATCCGTCCGTCCGTCTATCTTTCCATCTATGTAATCAAGTGACAGGTCACAATATTCAACATAATTGATGAAATTTTTTACATGACATACTTGTTTAGATCAGAAAATTATTTTGAAGATATTTTAAAAAGTTTTTTAACATAAAAAATATCAGACTTGATTTCGAAGTGCCTCACGTGAATTTCTGCCTTGAATTCCTAATTTCACGGTGGTCATTTTCATACACCGCCCCTTTGTGTATCTTACACGCTGGAAGCAATTTTTGTACTTGGTTCATGTACAAGCATTTTGCTTAAGTACTCGAACTATCTGACCATTGCTGCCCCTTTACTTAAATTCCGAGATGCAAAAACATCACATCCGTTTACAACCACGCAGATGGAATAGCCTCTGTTGAGTCGCCAACAGCACCTAAATATGTAATCGGTAGATCGAAACACGAATCCGTCAAATAAGCCGAGGATTCGTTCTTACTCACAGAGAACACACTGTGGTAAATCTGGTATGAACAGAGTAAACACTGAACATACTCGGACAAAAGAGGAAAATTTAATGGCATGGCTTTTATAAGATACCTTAAATCCATTACCATTCAACATAGCACACCTCTCATTCATCCGACACACTCACTCTAGGTATACGGGTAGATGAGGTCCACATACCCCTACATACGCATAGTCCCACAGTCACTCCTCTCTGGGGTATCTGTGCACCGAACATATCCTAAATTATAGGCTTTGCCGAGCATCACTCTTTTAACCATATTTTCTTCCCGCAAATTTGGATTAAACAACAGCCACCACGTGCAGCCCAAAAAGACCTCTCCAATAACCGGCACAGAACAAAGTCCGAAACTCTGCTCTGTTGTCTACAGGTTCCCATGGTACCAGATTATATGGTTCTCTGGTTCGACCAGCTGGCTGTTCATGTGCATGGTACAGGCAACATATTTTAATAAAATTTAGACAATGGACGACATTCAAATCGGTCCATTATTTCACCTAGCTCCAGACAACCGGACCTTCCGATTTTAGCTTTTTAACTATGTTTTATATAACCATAAATAATAAAAAAATCTGTTTTTCATCCATAAATTACATCAAAATTAAGGTAATATTCAACATTAAGGACTTTTAATTTGAGGATCCCAGCTCCCATAGTTTCTCAGATACGCGAATTTTTGTATTTAATTTATATGGGAGGTACCACACCTCCTAATGCTATTTCGTATAGTTTCCCAACTATACAAATTTTAGTATTTAATTTATATGGGAGAGGTCGTGCCTACATAATCCGCTAATTTAGTACCCAAATGTTCACATGGATGCCAAAGTTGAGGATTCTATTTCTTATAGTTTTTCAGATACACAAATTTGTATATTAATTCATATGGGCGGTGTCATGCCTCCTATTACTAATCCGCAAAGTTGTTTTTGCTATATTTAAGGATTCTAGCTCTAACAGCTTCTCAGATATACGAATTTTTGTAATTAATTCGTATGGGTGGTGCCACGCCTCCTATTGCTAGTTCGCCCATTTTTATCTTACATATTCATTCATGATACTATAGTGATCCCTACAAAATTTGCTGGTATTTTTCTCAGATATACCGATTTAATATTTTGTTTGCATGGCTGGTGATAGAAGATACTTTATATTGCCGACACCTTATAAAAAAGTAAATATTTTCAAAGACATAAAACTTAAAAATCTAGCACTCCCCAGTAACAAAACACCAACTTCCACACATAGTAAATGAAATTTCATGAATTTTTGAACTTAAATTCAAGACACATTAAGAAAAAACATATATAAAAATAACTTACATCACCATTGGCATCTTTTTTATCACGATGATAACGTACAGCAGCTAAAACAGCTATACGCGCCACCTCATCCGTATTCATATTTTGTCCTATAAATATAACAAAATGTATAAATTTTAATTTAAAAAAAAAACAAGTAAGAGTGTTATATTCGGCTATGCCGAATCTTATATACCCACCATCAAACCTCGTTTGACTCGAATGAAACTTACTTACATATGTCGAATTTCATCTATATATTCGTATTATTAGGCCAGTTATAAGCGTTAAAGGAATTTTCTGAAGGGGACCTTATATGGGGGGTAGGGTCAATCATGGACCGATCAACATAAAATTTTTTAGATAGATTTTGACTCGTATGAAACTTACTTATGACGAATTTCATCTATATACTAGAATTTTTAAGCCAGTAATGAGCGTTAAAGTCATTTTCTGAAGGGGACCTTATATGGGGGGTAGGGTCAATTATGGACCGATCCTCATAAAATTTTGCACAGTGATTTTGGACCACAAGAAACTTACTTATACTTTCTTATATTCGTATTTTTAAACAAGTTGTGGCTGTTAAAGCTGCTTTTCGAGGGCCACTTGTATGGGGGCTATCCGAAAACGTGGACCGATATTGCCCATTTTCAATACCAAACAAACCTTACCTATAAGAAATATTTATGTGAAATTTCAACCCTCTAGCTCTTTCCATTCGGACTCTATCGTGCTTTCAACAGACAGACAGACAGACGGACGGACGGACAGACGGACAGACGGACAGACATGGCTAGATCGTCTTAGAATTTAATGAGGACCCAGAATATATATACTTTTGTGGGTCTATGACCAATATTTCGATGTGTTACAAACGGAATGACAAAATCAATATACCCCCCATCTTTTTTGATGGTGGGTATAAAAATGTTTTGTTTGTACTAAATTAATTAAATTTAATAGAAATTTTAAATGGAAAATGTTCGCCTTAGAATAACATTAAATATTACTTACCATCACTACAGCCACCAATAATGGCATTTAAATGATCTAGAACATCTCGTCGGGAGCTTCTATCCTGTAAACCATTACGACACAATTTATCCAAAGTATCCTCATAGAAACATTCAAATATAAATTCCATCGTATTCCGTAAATTCGACGCAGTTAGTAAAAGACAGTTTGAACAGTCTAATGTTTATGAAAGAATTCTCTGTAGAAAATTAAAGAAAAACTGTAAAGCAAGAAATTTTAAAAAATTATAGTATTAATGTGGTAACACTTGTCTGAAGAAGCCATAGCAAAAGACTGATGTAAAAATAAGTATTAAATTTTTTCATGTTTAAATATTTTAAGAATTCTTTGCAGACATAACATTGTGGCATTGGTCTATTACTAATCAATTTTACATACTACGTAAAAATCGATTTCAATTTAAGTTCTATATAAATTTTATATTTAAAATTTAACTTGTTGAATATATGTATGTATTTCTAGTTATTCTAATTTCACCTTATTGGTATGAAATTATGTTATATTTGTTTTTTTTTTCTAATCGTGTAGTTTCGTTCTGTTCTTTCTTTGAAATTCTAAAGAAAACTAAACAAAACATGACAAGTTTTGTTTAATTAATGTAACTTTTTAGGCGCTGCTTAATACAATACACTCTTACCTTGACTTTCCTATATAGAAAGAGAAAAGACACCCAGTAGTGTTGCTATATCTTTTAGACGATATACATACCTCTTTGTAATGTGATTATCTATCTGTAGAGCTATATATATAAGAGTGCTATACTCGGCTGTGTCGAATCATATATACCCTTCACCACAGTGTATTTAAAAAATATCAATTCTATAAAAGTTTAATTTATTTCATTTTCCCGTTTATATCATTATTATAGCAATAGCAAAACGAACAACAACAACGCTAAACGAAATAAACACACAAAAAAAATACACAAGGCAGTAAAACCAACAGACATCCAAACATACGAAACGAAATACACAAAAAAAAAAAAACAAAATACACAACGCAATAAAACCAACAGACATCCAAACATACGAAACTGAATACACCAAAAAACAAAAACAATATACACAAGGTAATGAAACATACGAAACGAAATACTCAAAAAAAAGCAAAAACAAAATACACAACGCAATGAAACCAACAGACATCCAAACATACGAAACTGAATGCAGCAATGCTGATTTTAAATAGCGATCTTCTCGAAAGCATGTCTAACAGAATTATTGAAGATTTGGATCTCGCCGATATCAGGGGTCCTCTAAAAACTGATTTCAACAAACACACAGACGGACAGACAGACAGACGGACATAGCTTAATCAACTCCGCTACCTATAAGGATCCAGAATATATGTACTTTATGGGGTCGGAAAATTATATTATAGAAATTACAAACGGAATGACAAACTTATATATACCCTTCTCACGAAGGTGAAGGGTATAATATATATTTTTTTGAAAAGGTCCTCAGTTCAATACCAACGATTGAAAACTTGGATCTTAGTACAATATGTGAAAAAAAGTTTAGCGATTTTTTCAAAATAGGTCTCAAAAATAATTATAAAATTTATCGACATTTATCTTGCAACTGTATTGATCTTAGGAAAATGTAATTTGAAATACCTTCACCTTAAAATGGTCGTCCCTAGACTTAACCCTTGCGCAAAGGAATGTTCACACTCCCCTGGTGACCTCAGAATTAATAGATGGCTGGGCTTTGAGTGAGACGGAACTCAGGTTCAATATCATCACTTGTAGAATATCGAGACAGCTCTGACCCACTCTGACAACTGATAGGACTTTCTTGTATTTTAATAATAACTCGATTAGGTTTCTCACTGGTATAATTACTGAGCACTGCATGATGTCGGAAGGTATGTGCTACACACGTTATAGCTACTGTAGAAGCTGTTTGGGCGAGAAAGAAGGGGAACCGGTACAGCACTTTCTATGTGACTGCCCAGCCTTACAAGAGAAGAAACTACTCTATCTTGGTAGAGCTCTTTTCCATGATCTGGACTATCATAGAGATGTGTCACTAGTAAACATGATCGGTTTTATTAGAAATGCCGGCTGGTTTTCACGGGGACTACAAGAACCAAGTAGTCAACGAAGTTAGGGAGTAAAACCATTCTCTCAACATAAGGGAATGGCAATTCTAAGGGTATCGCAATGGGCAAATGAACAAAGACTTCGAGTGAACGCGCTAACTAGCGAGCAACCTACGTAACCTAACCTCCTAACCTAACCTATTAGATTCTCATTGACATAAAAAACTTTTACAAATTATAGAATTGGTTCGAGTTTAAAAAGCATTTAAAAAATGGTATCACAAGTCAAGTACTCACATTCATAAACTTTTCATTTGTTTATATTATTTTATTACAGTACTTTTCTTTACAATGAGTACTTTTTAATCTAATGTACCATAATAATCAATCCTATTATAAATACAAATTTGTACGCACAAACAAATTATTGTACATATTTGTATCTGCCAAATTAAACAATAGTTTCGTGTGAACACCCTGTAAATTCTCTCGTTTTTTTGTAGCACACATTCTTTTCATTCATTAAATTCTCTCATTTTTTCACAACGCTAAGAAGGGAGAGTGTGAAACAGACATGGAAATTTTAAATTTTTAAATAGTATTAACTTTTTCCATAAAGTACTAGTTTTTGGAATAAAAGCACTAAATTACTTTTTGACATTGACTAGTCTGTTGAACAATTTATGAACTAGTCTATTGACTAGTCAATGGACCTGTCTATGGACTTGCCTATTGAATACTTTATAGACTAATCTATAGACTAGACTAGTGGCTAGTTTATATAGTCTAGTCTATTTACTAGTGTATGCTCTGATCTATTGACTAGTGTAGAGTAATGACAAGTCTGCTGACTAATTTATTGACTATAGTACATATAAACTAGTCTATGGACTAATTATCCAAAGGTTATAATAAAAAATTGTACTTACCCCCATAATCATAATAAAAATTTTATTTTAATTAAAGTTTATAAAACAAAATTTACATGAAAAATTTGTTGCAAAAATCATAAATAAGGCCTTTAATATCTAGTGGAAGTACTATACTACTAAATTTTCCATCCCTGTGTGTGTGAAGCTATATAAAAACATACATTTTTGTTGTAGAGGGTGGTAAACAAAAAGCATTTTTTTCTGTTTTTGTTTTGTTCACAAAATTCTTTATATTTACAAAAATTCTACAAGAATAAAGATTTAATCAATGGAATATTGTTTTCTAAATAACAACAAAAAATAGTAAAATTTAAAATCTTGTTTTATATTTATTTCAACTTAAAAACCACAACATTTTTAAATGTTAATTTAAAACAAATAGATTTAATAATCTGATAAAACCACATGTTTTTAACACAAACATACTTTTACATATATTTTTATACACTTATCACAAATTATTATTTACTTTGTTAAACAAAAATATTTTTTAATTAAATAAAATACCTTTTTTTGGATTAGGTAATTTGTTGAAAATATTTTTGTTTTAAGCACATTTTTTTTTTTTTTTTTTCTAAATTTTATAAGGTTTTTTTTAATTTTGCTATTTTACACACAATATATCCGTTTTCTTTATTTCTCCAAAGTAATTCACATACTAACTGAAAGTAAGTTTGTATGTCAGTTTTTCGCTTGACAAAAAAAAAACAACTGTAATTGCTCTAGTTCTCTCTTGTTCTCTCCCTTTGGCTGACACCCTCTGTGGAGAAAGATGTAGGCATGTTTAGTTTATCGTAATTTTTGTTGTTTGTATACAAATATACTATGTATGTATGAATATGTATGTATGAATATGTACATATAAAGGTAAAATATTAATAATGGTGGTGGTTAAATGGTATTACATGTCAAGAGAGAAAAAGTACTTTTTATACCCTACACCACTACAGTGGGGAGGGTATTATACGTTTGTGCTGATGTTTGTAACACTCAAAAATATTGGTCCTTAAAGTATACCGATCGATTCAGAATCACTTTTTGATTCGATTAAGACATGTCCGTCCGTCTGTATGTCCGTCCGTCCGTCTGTCCGGCTGGCTGGCTGTCCATGTAAACCTTGTGCGCAAGGTACAGGCCGAAATTTTCAAGATAATTTGATGAAATTTGGACCAAACATGTTTTTTCGTACAGGGACGAAGCCTATTGAAATTGGTTGAAATCGATCCATTATTTCACCTAGCCCCCGTACAACCGTACCTCCCGATTTGCCATTATTACGTCAAATATACTATTATCTCTCCAAACCAGTTTTATATACATACGTATAAATGACACTGCAGATTTTCGTAATGATCCGTCCTTATTTGACCCCAGCCTCCATACAAACCCCCCTTCAAAAAATGTTTTAAACGTCTAAAATTGACTTGTAACCATTTGTATCGCAATGAAACTGAACATAACTAACTGTTAATTATAAATATAAGTATATACTTTTCCCAAATTTAATGAGGATCGACCTATACTCCTATATAAAACCTCATTTAGAAAATTAGTTTTTTATCAATAAATTGCTTAAATACTTTGGAATTAAGGTAAAATTCAACATAAAAGTTTCTTTATGAATAATAAATATTTTAAAAATATACTCATGGTGTAGGGTATTATATGGTCGACTATACTTCCCTACTTGTTTTTAATATCAAAGGGCAACAATTTTGTTATACACTTCTGCAAATTCATCACCACTCATTTATAACAAGACTAACATAACTCAAAATTCTTTCCCACTAGCTATAAAACTGAGCCTTAGAACTATGTCTTAAACCTTTAAAAAACTTGTTGAAAATATAAAAAGTTTTTTTTTAAATAACAAAATTAAAAAATATTATAAATAAATGAATGTTTATATCATTTAAGTACATTTAATTTACTTAAATATTTCAACAGACCGTTATAATCTGTATTTCAAATATTACATTTCAAACTTGAAGTATCAAAGCAGCAATAGAAGAAACGATTTAAATTGATGTTAAAAATTCCATCTCAAATTTGTATTAAATTAAGAATCACTCTCGAAAAAAGCAATAAATTAAACTGTATACATTACATTTCAAAAGTTTGTATGTACTTTTTATTATATCAAATAATTCCTACAATAATACATACACATACATATATGTATGAATGGATATTCTGGAAGATGTTGTATGTAGAATAAACACTAAAAGTGGAAATAAATTTCTTCATATTTAGCTTAAAAGGATTGAGATAAATAACTTTGGTGTAAGAATTTTTTTTCAAAATTTATTGATTTTTTCTAGTTTTGAATATTTTAAATTTTAAAGGAATTTTTCTCATATCGATTATGCTGATCTTAATTAGTACACTTCTCTGTCCGTCTGTCCATACATATGGACAGACGGACAAAGATCCAGAATATATACATTAGTGTGTCCCCTTTTTTGAAAGGGGCCTCAGTTTACTACCAGCGATTCAAAGATCGATACAATACGTTAAAAAATGTCTTTCTATAAAAATCTCAAAAATTCCGTAATTTTGAACTGATTCTTTCTTTTTGAAATAGGTGT